CAAATGGCATCCTGCAGATGAATTGGGAATGTGCCAGTCACAGTTTGAATGACATAAGCGTGGTCTGCAAAAAGTACTCTAGATTGGGAAGAGAAGGTCACAGTGTTGTTGAGGAACTCAAGCTGGTGCCAGCACACCCTTAGTTTCTGCAATAAATGCACCAGAAGTTACCGATCTCTGTTTTACTGATTGATTCAACAACACATTAGGGTGCTTGTTGTTGTACCTTGCTCTTGGATGTACCTGGCCAGTTCGTTTCTCCTGCGTGTAGTTCATGAAATATTCAAGGCTGTGTTTACACCAGCACACTTTTCTCCAAATTTTGTTTAAGCTTTTACTTTAGCTATAAAAAGGGTAGTTAAAGGTAGGAGCTTTTCTAACAAAGTCCACCATGTTTTCTGTGCCACTTTTCCATGACAGGCTCTACGACTGTGATTTCTACCTTGATTTTCTCAACCGTTCTACCGGATATTTCAACAATTCACAGTAGTTCTAGCAGCCTAATTAAAGGCCTGCCCTGATTTCTTTGCTTTGGATTTTTTTGGTGGTTTTGTTATTGTTGTTTGGGGTTTTTTTTGTGGGGTTTTTTTATTATTTTGGTATTTATTTTTTTCCATTTTGTTTTTTGTTGTTGGGTTTTGTTGGGGGTTTTTTTGTTTGTTTGTTTGTTTGGGGGTTTTTTACATTTTAGCACATGTTGATTGCTCATATTATTCCACTTGCAGCTAATTATCTTCTCTACCCCATGTTAAAAAAGTAACTGTATATCTCTTTTTGCTGAACTCACAGAAATCTCAGCAGAAGGCCTGGAAAAAGCCAGTCACACAAATTACATTCCTTCTAGTTTGATCTATGGAATGTGTAAATGCAATTTTTTGGTTTACTCTGTGAATTCAAATCAACTTGCTGATTATACTTGACCACTACTGGATGACATTTAATCCTGCCTTGCAAGGTTCCTACAGAACTCATGCCTCTATTGGTTTGTTTTGGTTCTAGATCAAAGATTCAAATACAAAATTTCATTCTTGTGCTCTCTTCCAAGGGGCAGGCACTGACAGGGCAGGAAAAGCAGTATTCCACCAAAGTTTTTGCAAGACATCAATACAACTTTAGCATACTACGAATCACAGCAGTTATCTTTCAGATGTCAAAAAGGTAATACGGAATATATGCTACGGCTTATTTACTAAGAAAGAAATACATCAGACCCCATACGAATTTTAAGATCATTTAAAGGAAGTTTGTATAAAGTGTACAACCTATCTATATCTCCAAAACAATTTTTTAAAAAATCAGTAGTAGACAACAGCTAATACACACTTCACAGCACAATAAAAGGGAAAGATTAATACACAGCAGGCAAATGATTTTTTTTTTTTTTTAAATTTCATGCTAGTTCCACAAAACTTTTCCAAAGGGTCTGCACACTTGGTATGAGCAGGCAGGTATGATGAACAGAATTTGTTTGAAAGTAATTAAGAACTCTTTGATAACTGTAATTCTTATCAGCACTTTTTTCTTCACTTGTTTTAAGTGAACAAGAAGAAAAAGAAGTTTACATTTTTTCTTGCATAAATGTTTCATTTCTTCATCTCAGCAAAGATTGCCAATAACCTACATCAAACAGGGAAGGAATTGCTTTAAAGAAAAGATCACAGAATCCAAAAGCAAATTCTCCCTTTTTGTCATGCACACAACTCTCATGCATTTATCTCCAGTTGACATTGCTCAGACAGCTTCCAATTGCCTAGAGACTTCCAGGGCACTTGATCTAAAAAGACATAAGTCTACTCTGGGTCCTAACATATTTCTTCTAGTCTCCTGTCAAAACCTCTGATATGCAGGTGACCTAAAGTGTTAAGGCAACTTGATCCAACCCTCAGTGACAAGATAAGCATCTTTAAGAAAAAGGTGCATGTACTACAGATGGTATTTTCAAAGCATTTCAATTCAAAAGTAACAGTGCTTTTGGATACGTTAAGCTTCAAACTGAAGCCCACTTTTCACACCGAAATAGCGAGCGCCGCTTCCACGCAGAACAGAGCGTCACTCACCACTTATGCAATCAGTGGAAAGATACTGCAGCTTATTGCTTCTCCCTGTCTAGCAACTTGTTTGCAAGCTCATGAAATGCTCTACAGAAGCATTATGGTAGCTTGCTAGTGATCAGTGTCCCCTGTGCATGCGGCAAAAATAAAAACAGCCTAGAAGGGCTTGTTTGTTCTCATACGTACCCACATTACTAGAGTAATCCTGGTGAAAATTAATGCAGTTAAATTACTTATACTGCTCCAAGCATGTCTCCACCACGCTTCTTAAATCTATTGTCACAAGCAAATTCAAGATGCTGGACAACTCCAGGAACACTAGTCAGTGATCCAAGTCAGAGAGCTCAGTCAGTTCCCCTGTCCAACTGCTCAATACAGCTTATAAAAAAAGCATTGGAAATGGCATGTGTAGTTAAATCAGGAATGCTTTCTCTCAGTCTATATTCAATTACTAATACAGAACCAAAACTCGAGGATAACAACCACCTTTCAAATCATAAGTACAAAAAACAACTTAGTTTGTCAGAGTCAAATCCACGGTAAGATTCAGAATTTATTAATAACTGAAGATTTTACAATCTTGCAATCCAGAAATTTATTCCCTTACAGGAAAAAAAAAAAAAAAATCAGGCATGAAACACTATTTAAAACCACCTCTTTTCACAGAGCATTTCTTTAACCAATTCAAAGGTCTGAAAACCATTCCACTGTGGTGTGGCAGAAGCATATGGTGATGACAAGCTCTGCTCTCTGAAGAATACCCTCCCCAGAGGGGCACATTTCATTTAATTGGAAAAGTCTGGGGCCTGACTGAAGCAATAACATATGCAGCCTGTCATGTTTCCAACAAGAAAGCTCATTCTCACTGTGGTTTAAACATGAACTTTCCCTCAGCTATCATCACTGAACATGTCATATTTTTCCATTAAGTCTTAGCCCACTGTTTGTATTTAATCTTGCTTTCCTTGGCAAGGTGCACATGTTTTTTAATTCTTAACCACAAATCTTCTAAGTGCTGTGCTGATGTCACTAACTGACAACATGACAAACTTTTCAAAACTTCTAGCAAGAACTAGAGACTTGCTCTGTTGATCATTGCATATCTAAACCAAAATTCAGTCTCTCTCCAAAGGTTTATAACCTGCTATACTAAAGGATGGTAGCATCACTTAAGCTAAGGTAAAGATACTGTTTTAACAGCTGTTTTTTAAGCGGTATGTGAAATACAAACAAATATGGGTCATTCTGCAAGCTATTAAAATTGCTTATTTGATCTGGGTAGGTTTTAAAACCCCAAATTTAGTATTCACAACACAGATTGTTGAAATAGGTACCAAGAAGCAATGCTGCATCAAGATTACCCTCAACGTGCAACTCTGGTGAATACCTGTAACTCTGGCTCTAATCTCAACAAACTGGATTAATTTTAGCTGGTATCTAGCGAATCTCTTCAAGGAAACAATACCTAATACCATGAAAGCATGCCAAAGAGAAAAGTTGGCTCTGCAACATCATTTTACTCAAGACAAAGCAGGCAACACACTTTCTGGTAACACAAACAAACAAACAGAACTTGCAGGGAGCCTGATGTCAGAGCAGACTGCAGCTCAGAATGGTATGTCACGGGTGAGTGAACACTGGCAGTAATACAGCCTTCCTTGTAGCAGCTTTCTGAGAATGTGTTACATGTCTTAATTTGATCCAAGCCTCATTTACTTCTTTCTGGATATTTTATCTCACATGACTGTGTGCACACACATGCATTTTGCATTCATTTTAACAGCTGATATTTCAGGGTCACCAAAAATGTACATGCTTATTCAGGTTTTAGATATATCATGAAACACAGTAACATCAATCAGAGATGACGGTAAATTAAAAGCTCTACTAAATAGCAACACCAAGAGGATAACCATGCCAGAGATGCTGCTGTCTACCTGCCTGAATGCAGAGCTGCTGTATTAACAGAGAAAAGCTACTTTTCCTCACCGTTAGCACATCTGAACAGACTATTGAACTTCAGGAAAAGATCCCAAGATAACATCAACAGCAACATACATTTCACACACACATAAAAAAAAAACCAACAAAAAAATCACACACATTCTCTTTTACACAACAGTTCATCCAACGTACACAAAGTAGGAGAAGAGGACCTCTTCATTTCTCTTCTTCAGCCTCCCTTGAAAATATTTGGACTAGGCTTATCTGAAAATGCAGGCGGGTTTTGAGGTGTGCAGTTTTAGAGCAGCTGTATCCACATTTCTTTAGCAGAAGTCAGGACACGTATCAAACAATAGTCTCACTCCTGCAGCCAACAAGTGTGTAATGATAACATGACTTAAGAGTTACTCACCTCAAAAGGACATTTTTATTGATCTTTGTTTCTTTTCGTGCATCCTCCTTTCCTGATGTTGCCCCATCTTAATACTATCATGCTGCACAAAGTCCAGACAGAGTTTATAATGCAACTCAGACTATGTGCTTCAGCGCTTCTCAGACACCTGTACTTCCAGAACGAAACAGTTCTAACACTGGTCTAAGACCAACCTGTACAGCCAGATTAGCTTGAAAATAAACTTTAGGAGTGAGCACGCACCTTAAGTATAAAAATATTTAAGAACAGAAACACTGTTCTGCAAGGCACACTATAGAATTTTCATCACTTCTTTACCATGAGGTCTACTTAATAACTATTTTGAGGATTATCTCTATATAAAGCAACCTAGACGGTTTAAAGAGAGTATCATCTTTGTTGCAAAGTGACAGCGTCTCACACTGTGTTTAAACACAGCAAAATTCTCCTCTTCCTTTTAGTCGCAGTTTGGTATAAGCAACCCCTCTCAGCTAACCTTGAATTTTTCTGTTGCTTCTTTAGATGCTAGAGCTGAAAGCGTAAGTACATAATACACAGAATGAAAGAAGTGATGTATTTAAGCAAGGCCATACCTGAATACTCCTTCCATTTGGTCTTTGGTGTAGCCTTTTCCACTTTCACCTGCAGCAGATGCATTGCTCTCCTTCGTGCTATTGGGCTTACTTTGATCATTGCTACTGGCTGGTTTTCGGCAGTAAGCGCCTTCCCCAGCAGTACTTCCATTCTTCATAATAGCTTCCAACAAAACTATAAAACAACAGTATATCATAGTATCATTATAGGCATCAGCAATTAAGTCGGGGCTCTCGAGTATCTTAAATGGGAGCACCACATTATAAAAGACTAGCCACTACATCCTCCTTCCTTATTGATCATCGCTTTGTACCACAAATGTTTCTGAAGCCAGTCTAGCAACTCCTTTTCGTGGAAAAACTATGGAAAAGTGTTTCAAAAGTAGTGACTGGACTCCACCTCTGCCAAGGAAATTTAATACTGGAAAGAATTTGTCCATGTCCTTCATATCTAGATAGTTTTTAGAGGCAGTGAACCCAAGCTTTGGGGTGAAAACATCTGAATACCTGAATAAGCAACTGTAAATCGAAAAGAGGAACTAACCTAACACTCTAAAGACCTGCAAATTATTCCATACAAAGACCAAGCCCATCTCCAGCACATTTCAGTTGCTAGAGTACGCACCTATTTGAAACCTGAGCCATTAGTGGCCACAAACTGATGTTCTATACCCCTTCCAGGCAATACCATCTGAAATTCAAACTACTGTTAAAATGCCACAAGTCAGTTAGGACCAGCCAACTACACCCAAGTCTTGAGACTTGCATCTTGAAAACCAGCACGCTTTTGCTAGATCTTTAAATCCTCTTTCCTTCCATGTTCCAAGAGATCTCAAATTTAGCAGTTTTAATACATCATCAGACACTAAGCCTTCTTTTTCTTTCTGGATATAAGGCTGTATTTTGGGGGTATCTGTCATACCAATAAATCAGAAACAGTACCATTCTTAACTTAAGGGACTGCACACAAGGCATAATGTAGATCAAAGATCACTAAATAGTCTATCTTTCCTGAAAAGAGATCCCTTCAGGGCCAGATGGCAAACTACATAGGCCAAATTTGTTTGATAAACAACCGAGAGTTACTATCTGCATAAAAAAATGCACTTATTAAAATTCCCAAAGAAAAATGTCCCACTCCCTGTGAAAGCATGTTACATCTTTACTGTTAAAAAACATTTTCTGCTAGAAGCTAGTGAGAAGAATCCTGAATCTAAAAAAAAAATCTCCTCTGACTAGCATGGGCTTTCTCAGAGCAGCAGAAAACTGGGATCCTACATATCACATCTCAGAAGCACAGGAAAGAAAAGAAAGCAGAACTTTGTTTAAAAGGAGAACCACTTCCCTAGGATGTGCTTCTTAAAACTCTCCAGTGTTTGCTTTTACTTATTAATTCACTTATTACCCACTGGCCACAGCAGTCTGAAGTACTGCAGATGAATAGCTATACTCAGCCTGAACAAGAAAATCAGCTGACTTCAGTGCTGGTCCTGCGCTCCTGCCTGCCTCAGCAAGACTCATCAATTGATCAGATCAGGCTTTTTACTGCAGAAATAAAGAAACAACTAACATTTAAATGCTGATGTATACTGAGGGGATGTTTTCACTACAAATGAAATGAGGTTCTTAAAAACAGGAGAGTTACAGTTGCGTTACGGATTATAACTGCAGCACATACCCAAATATTTGCAATAGTTTATTCTAATATCATCTGTTACGGCATTTAAAGTTTGGAGGTAAATGAAGTAATAACAACTCCAATAAGGTGACTGTGTCTGCAGGCTAAGAACTAATCAAGAACAGAGATCTGAACAGACAGAGCCCTCAGAATGAAGCATTTTCAGTCTAGATGCGCTCCAAACAAGTGATAACAGAAAACAAAATTATTATTTTTCTGTCCCGTGATGTTTGATATTTAATAACAGTATCACGTGGGATCCTATCAAACATGTGACCCTGACTTACCCTCTAGAAATAATGCTTATTCAACAGTTTTGCAAATCCTGCCTTTGTATTGGTATTGCTCTTGTGCAAAATCAGTAGTAGGAGCAATGGTAGAAACGCAGGTATAGACAACGGCTTGCATTTTTAATGCCCAGTGTCTCTTCACGGCAAGCTTAGCTGGTAAGACTTTTTGGTTGCACTATACTTTCAACATCACTATTTCTTAATCACCTTTTCAGACCTCCCACCCCCATAATGGAGCTGCACTGCTGAAAAGACCATGCAGGATGCTTGCAAAAAAAAAAAAAAAAAAAATTAAAAAAATCAACCCCGTAAGTGTTAATTTCTTAAAATAGCAGGACACAGCATATACAAACATGCTATTGTTCTGTGTTGAAAAGGAAAACCATACAAAGGGTCTGGGGCCATTGTTTTCTTCAAATAAAAGATACAGTTCAGATATTCAGAAAAAACTTTGACTCTTCCATGAACCGCCGGTGGTAAAACCCGCTGTTAGAACTGTAGTACTAACACTGCATTAACAAAAACTTTCACTGTGCATCTAGGCATTTTAAACTAGGACATACAAGGAACCAAAGAGCTATTTTGTAAGACACTGAATCTTATCTCCACATGTGTCTGAGGGCGCTCTTGTGTGTGCTGTTACCTGCTGCCGAATGAAAGATCCTTGCACTGCAGTTGATTCCATTATGCATTGAACATGACCCCCACTTTCACTAATGGAAGAACTGTTTAATTCAGAACTCGTACTAATGCAACAGCCTAAAAAACTAAGGTCACGTACTCCTGAAAAGTCTGTTTTTAAAGGCAGCATTCAGAAACAATGCAAGAAAATCTTAAAAAGCACTGAAAAATAAAGTTGTCCTTAATGTCATTGCCTGCCTCCAGCTCCAAATAGAGTGGCACCTTAAGTTTGAAAAGGAGATCTTGTCCTTTGTTATCTTTAAACCCACTCTTACAAATCTTGGCCAGACAAGCAATAAAGATTCCATTCAGTTGTAAGATGAATCATTAGCAAAACATTGTCATCAAAAAATATTTTGAACAGCTGAATTGTAAAACAATTTCCTAGCAAAGAGTGACGTCAACATGAACACTGCAACTATGAAGTCATTAGCTAAGTATCATTAAATAAGCACTGACCCTACATTTCACACTAGTAAAGCCTTAAAATAGCACTGCTGCAGTCAGCGTATTTCAGGCAGAAGCTTTGTTTAGCAAAACTAAACTTCACTGATGACTGAGCTAGTGCTGAATGCACTTTAAATGCAAATGTCGCCAAAACCAAACCACACATAGTATTGTTTTAGAGATAATAGTTAAAACCTGCTCTCTATCCTTTTATAATCCGGTATAGCAGCAGGAGGAGGAAGCTCCCATCAGTAAAAGATTCGGCACTACCATTCCCATTGCTTTTATCCCTGATGGAACATCGTATGTGAAATGGTGGGCAATTGTTCTCAAAATGATACTAAAGATACAACCTATGAAGTATTCATGACTTCAGTGAGAAATTGGTACAAACTACCTTCTAATACATACCCTGAAGAGAAAAAAGTGAGCACAGAGACAACTGGGGCTGCACCATATTGTCCAATCACCATATAAACCAAACACATTATGACTATAAAATAAGAATTTGTGTTAGAATTAAGCGAGCTCACAAAACCTGAACTGTTCCCTTCTCTTTGGTATGTGCTATGACAAGCTTTTAAATATCTAATGAATTACTGTGGTGTTGGGTTTGTTTGGTTTTTTTTTTCCAAGTGGACACCCCCCCCCCTTAATTTATCTAAAAGATGACAATGAGATAATGAAACAGTCATTTCGTTTGTTTTCAGTAAGCGTAAAATGCCAGTTGTAATTTGTTGCACACCTTCTAGTTCCTGTCCTGAAAAAAGCACATCCTGTGTCCTTGCAGCTTACTTTTAACAGGGCTATTTAAGTGCCTCAAAAACTTAAAAAAAAATATTCTATGAGTTGGTGTTGTTTTGGGAGGGAATGCGATGAGTTGAAAAGAATTACCAACCTTTACAGCTAGAAAACTGCAGCACAGAGATATTACAAGTTTAGAGTCCCCTAATTTCTAAGTACCTAGTTCAAACCAGGCCTAGGGCCTGATTTTTTCTCAGTAGTATTAGGGCATCTGCAATTCTCATTAGCTTCAGATGGAGCTTTAACTGCCCATCAGTTCCACAAATCAGGCCCTTGTTTCAAGCTGAATACCTGAAAAATGAAGCACAAACAATTAGGTGTCACTAATGGAAACAGTGTCAAGTGACTTATTTAACATCACAGAGAAATTCTGTGAAGCATTCCATTTCAGTACACAATTCCCCAGATTACAGTCCACTACCATAACCACAAGACCATCTTCTTTTCACCAGATCTGTACTCCATTTGTGACACACTTTGCTAATTTCCACAGCGAATAACACAAGTGTCCTACAGACAATAGCCTAATTAGTCATCTATTTCTTGCACTGAATACTTTACAATGGTGGTTATGTAGTAGCAGCCCTACTTAAAAGAAAAAAAAAAAAAAAACACTCAAAACATAAATCAGATGAAGATATCTTTATATCTTTTTTTTTTTTTTTCCCTGAAAGCTACTGTATTTCTTACAGTAAGGTAAGAGGTGTAAGATGGTAATAAGCTACGTGAAGCAGACAAAGCTATTTGCTGTCTTTGGTGGAACAAGCTGA